GAGAGAGAGAGAGAGAGAGAGAGAGAGAGAGAGAGAGAGAGAGAGAGAGAGAGAGAGAGAGAGAGAGAGACCTTCCCCAAAAAGACGGCTACGTCCAGCCGGTTGATCTGGACGTAGGGGCCTCTGGTGTCTGGCCCCAGAGGCTAGATGCAAACCGAAGTTTTCGTGGATCTTTTTTTTTCAGAATGGTCTCCTCCAAGGAAACCGGGACAATAAGAAAGTGTTCCTGGACTTTTCCTGGGCTCTTTCATTTCCTTTTCCTACTTTCGGCCCGGAACCTCTGCGCCTGACATGTATGATACAGAGAGACTGCTCTCTCTTTTTACATATATTGTTTTTTGTAACACACGAGGATTTTAACTGGTAGGCCCAGTGAGCTGAAGATGCTGCACACGCTGGGCCTGGGTGCAGCTTTCAGAAGGGCCCCAGGGCGCAGGCGTCTGGGACAGGGTGGAGCCTGGTGAGAGGCTGCTCGGCCTCTCCAGCCAGTACGAAAAGCTGGAGGGCACACCCTCTAACACATTCGGGCATTGTGCCAATGTGGCAGCGCTGCTGGAGCAGTAGCTGAGCCCTGTGCCCGAGGAGGAAGCTGCGCGGTGGCAGCGAGAAAGAGGGGGGTCTGGAAGCCATAGCCAAGCTGCTCAGACCATAGCTGAGTGGTGGTGGAGTAGCGGAGGTCCTTTGAAGGAGAAGGGCTGTGGGGAAGGAGACGGAGATGAGGGCAGTGAAACGTCAATGCTTTGCTTGTCCGTATTTCGTGCGATCTTGCTTTGCGATCTGCTTTCAGTTTCGGGTCAATGAAATCTGGTCGTCTGTGGGATGTTGCAATTTGGTTATTGCTGTTCGCATTGCTTATTTCCTTGCACATAGGGAGAAAAAATATATCCCTGGTGAATGTCGACGTCGTCGCACCTGATCTTCTTCTTTTTTTTTGTCCACCTTTTTTTTTTCTTTTGAAATTTATGCGTGTCATCCTTGCACAGGGGCCATGCTAATCTTCTCTGTATCGTTCCAATTTTAACGTATTCCCCGACGGAGATGTCTCACCTCATCTTATGCCAAGATTCTCACCTATTTTCCCCACACTTTCTTTTCGCACTGGCTAGCTAGTTGTCCTCTGTTTACTGTGCCTGCTGATTCTCTGCTTGTTTGCATTTTTGGATGCTAATCATGCTGTCCTGTTTGCGTGCCTGATCTTGCCTTCTGTTCTTGCTGATTTTTTGATTGCTTGCGTTTCGTTGTTTTATGCAGCCCAGAGGACGGAGAAGGAAAGCGGACAATGTCTTAGGAACTCTCAAGGTAAGTGATGATGGTTCCTGTCTCGGAAAGCGTTGCATGATGGATTGGGGATGGAGAGAGGGAGGGAGAGAGGGAGGGAGGATGCGGCATTGCGTAATGCCCAACATATGCAGGGCGGGAAGAGGGGGAGTGTCAAGTGACATTGCATGATGCTTTCCGTGCGTAGGGGCAGGAAATGGAGAGTGTGAAGCAGCATTGCCAACTGGTTGCAGCACACACGAGGAGGGGAGAGAGGGGGGGAATGTTGAGCCACATTACACAGCGCTTTTGGAACAGAGGGGGAAAGAGGGGGAGTGAGAGGGAGAGAGGGTGCGGCATTGCATAATGCCCTGCATGTGCGGAGTGGGAAGAGGGGGAGTGCCAACACTGCCAAGTGACATTGCATGATGCTTTCCGTGTGCAGGGGCAAGGAAATGGAGAGTGTGAAGCAGCATTGCGAACTGGTTGCAGCACACACGAGGAGGGAAGAGAGGGGGGGGAGTGTTGAGCCGCATTACACAACGCTTTTGGAACATAGGGGGGAAGAGGGGGAGTGTTGGGTGGCACTGCACGATCCTTTTCATCTGCAGGGCAGGGAAGGGAGATGTTAATCCACCAGGGAGGGAGCATTGAGTTGCCTTACACAACGCTTTTGGAACGGAGGGGGGGAGAGGGGGAGTGTCGGGTGGCACTGCACGATCCTTTTCATCTGCAGGGCAGGGAATGGAGATGTTAAACAATACCAGTCTTGCCGCGCGTCCAAGAAAGTTCCCATGCAGGCCCATGCAGGCTGGGCTGGGCGGGGAATTGAAAATGGCCCCCCGACCAGGTTTAGTTGGGATACCGGCCTAGCGTCTGGGTCCGGCAACAAGAAAGGAGTGGTGGTTTAAGTGGCATGCTGATGGGACAGGAAAGGATTCGGCGGGTGTTGAGTGGGATTGTGTGATGGCGGAGGGAACACAAGGAGAATTGGGGGAATGTGAGAGTGTCGTGTAGCAGATTCTATCGCTTTTGGGCCTCTCTCTCCCGAAATCTGCCGTCAGCGTATCCGCCCTCATGCTGACCGAACACTGACCCCATTACAATAAGCTGTGTGTTCATTGCAACCATGCGATGGTTCAGATGATGTCCAATTGGCATGTGATCAGGACCCCCTTTATTGAGAGCGTTCTGATGACATGGACCATGCAAATCTATGTCTCGACACCTCTGATGACAGACAGTGTGTGCTGCACCCATCCACACCACCTTCTCATAGTATGCCCATCATGTCGAGGAGGCTGGACTTAACTGTCTATAACTGAAGCTGCCATGTTTCCAGCATGTCAAAAGTGCTAGCTACAGTCTTCCCCCGAATACAACATACGGTGATTATAGCTGAATTTAGACTGAAAGATACACCAAATTCAGCTATAATGACCGTATGTTGTATTTGGGGGAAGACTGTAGTACTGATCAGGTTGACATTGGATCGCTCAGATCTTGTGGTGGGAAATTTCTTTGACTGTTCTACTTCTTTCAGGCCTGACTGTTGATTGCTCTGCTCCTGGAAACCAAGGAACTTCCTGGCCTTCAACAGTACATGACAGGCCGTGTTTGGTATTGCTGAGGCCCTTGTTTGGTACCGTCAAGGCCCTTGTTTGGGACCGCTGAGGCCCTTGTTTGGGACCGCTGAGGCCCTCGTTTGGGACTGCTGAGGCCCTTGTTTGGGACCGCTGAGGCCCTTGTTTGGGACCGCTGAGGCCCTTGTTTGGGACCTCTGAGGCCCTTGTTTGGGACCACTAACGCCCTTCTATTTTCTTTTTATGCTTGACCTTCCCAACCCTAACAGACATTCCAGTATTCCCTATGTAGAGTTGGACTTGTGTTCGTTAGGTTTGGACCTTTTTTGCTCTATTGCTAGCTGGGGTTGGTGGAGCTATAGTGTGAGAGCCGCTATGTGATCATGGTTGTAGGTTGCAGTGTGTACATGGCGGCCCACATGCTCGAGTGTTGATGGATTTCTAGCACTAATTCGTATGATGCATAGGTCACAAGACAAGTACAATGTGAAGCAACCTCAAGATGCTGTTTTGCAAGGCCTCTGTGTGTGATCACAGAAAATGAAGTTGCCCTGTAATGTAATCTCTTAAATGAGACTTGATTTGCTTGTGGTGCTGTTTTTTTTTCCCCTGTTGCTGTTCTTTTCGTTTCACTTGTTTTAGTGCCCGCACTTTTGTTTGTGCCCAGGAGAACTTCCCTGGTGGGTTGTTTGAAGACTGGGAAGCCTTTGCCAAAGCTGTGGCTGTGTTCGACCTAGCCAAGTGAGTTTGGGAGTTCGTCCTGTTTTTTTTGGCTTTTGTGTGTGGTAACAAATGGCCCAGAGAAGAAGATAAGTCTGTTTGGAACAAAGTTGAACAAACCCTATTACTGTGGTAACTTTTGGAATTCGTGCCACTGCTGAAAGATAACTAAACCAAACCGAAACAAAACAAGTGGCCCATTTCCGCTTAAGAAAGGCACATAAAACCAAGGTGCCTTAGATCAGAAAAGGAAAAAAAAGAAAAGAAAAGAAAAAGAAAGACAGGCACCGGACCCTGCACGTTCAAGCTTTTGCTGTCTACTTCCTTCTCTCTCTTTTTTCTCTTCTTTTTTTCCCGCTGTAATCTGAAACAGCCAGCATGGCTCTGTGGGTGTGTGAGAATGCGCGTGTGTGATTTCACAAAGCATCACATGCATCGATCTGCAGTGTCTTGTGAAAGTCATGGGAGTTCTCAAAACTGTCATGCGCTTTCTACCTTCTTCCCCCGAATACAACGTACGGTCATTATAGCTGTATTTAGACTGAAAGATGCCTCAAATTCAGCTATAATGACCGTGCGTTGTATTCGAGGGAAGAAGGTAGAGCCCTGGGCGAAAAGGATCCGATTAAATGTTAGGAGAGAGGGAGTCCTTACCCAGCCCCTGTGGCTGAATGGTACAGTGATGAACTGGTTATAATATTTTATATGCAGACCTGAGTTCAAATCCCAATGCGACGAGTTGAATGAAATAACCTAGGGCCAGTCAGTTCGATGATGATAGGCGAAAAGGATCTGAATCATCTGATTAATGTTAGGAGAGAGGAGTCTCCACCCAGCCCATGTGGCTGAATTGTACAGTATATGCAGACCTGAGCAGGGTTGCATACCTGCCGACCGCCGACCCCGACCACCGACCCCGACCACCGACCGTATTGCAGCAGACCAGTAGGGCCAACTGGTTGGCGGTCTGCTGACCAGTCAGAAAACAACCATCCACTGATGTTTTTTCAAATCTGAGTTGGGGGCTGTACTGCACTTGCTGAGTACAGTCCAAATCCGCAGAGAAACTTTTGGGGATTGGGTGGGGGGGGGGGGGTATGAGGTTGTTAGGGAGCGGTGTGGCTGTCTCTTATACACATCTAGATGTGTATAAGAGACAGGTCAAAAGTAGAGCACAGTCCCCCATGGCATTTTGTTGTGTGTGTGTGTCTGTGTGTTGTCCCGATCGCGATACACAACTGCACAAAAAAAAAAATACGGTGCCAGACTGTTTCAT